CTAGTTCTACCGTGGCTTTTAGAAAGCGGTGGTCACTGCCCACATCTATTTTATTCATGGTGGAGATGTCCTTTATGATGTTTAGCTTATCAGTCACAATGAAGTCAATTTCGTTTTGAGTTTTTCTATCTGGGCTTTCCCACGTTCATCTCCTTCCATCTCTCTTCTTGAAGAAAGTGTTGGCAATTTTCAAGTTGTTGTTTAAGGTGATATTTATCAATTTTTCTTCTTTGTCATTTCTTAATTCAAATCCATATGGACCTAAGGGTGTTTCTAGTCCATCCCTCTTTTTGCCTAACTTAGAGTTGAAGTCTCCCATAACCACTGTAAATTGGGTCTTTATTTCTCTAACTATCTTGGAAACTTCTTCATAAAGTTCTACTTCTTCATCTTCATGGCGGTTGTTGGAGCATATACTTGAATTATTTTGATGAAATATTTTGCATTCACCTTTATCTTTATATATGCAATCCTTTCATTTATTCCTACAATTTCTTCATGTTATTTTCCAGTCGTTTGTTGATGACAAATCCTACATCATTTTTAAGTTCGTTGTTGTTGCCCATGTTGTAAATAAGATGTCCATTTCTCCTCTTCGCTAAGCTTTCACCTTTCTTCCTTATTTCTGAGATTCCTATGATGTCCCACTTAATTTCTTTTAGCTGTTCTTCCACTTATTCAATTCTTTCTTCATACTGAAGTGTTCTGGTGTTGTAGGTTGCTATGAATAATTTGGTAATACTTTTTGCTTTTTTATTTCTTATCACTTTATTCTGACCATTTTGTCTACTCCTTATTCTCTCTCTCTCTCTCTCTCTCTCTCTCTCTCTCTCTCTCTCTCTCTCTCTCTCTCTCTCTCTATATATATAATATATATATATATATGTATGTATATATATATACACAACACACACACACCACACACCACACACACACACACATATATATATATATATATATATATATATATATATATATATATATATATATATATATATATATATAATATATATATATATATATATATATATACATATATATATATATATATGTGTATATGTATATGTATATATATATATAATATATATATATATATATATATATATATATATATATATATATATATATATATATATATATATATATATATAGGATATATATATATATGTATATGTATATGTATATATATATATATATATATATATATATATATATATATATATATATATATATATTATATCCTCCCCGCCTTACAACTTCCCTCATCCTTCTCCCCCTTCCAACTTCCCTCACCCCTCTCCTTTCTCCTCCCTTTCCAACTTCCCTCCCTCCTCTCCCTCCCCCTTCCATGTTCCTTCTCCCCTCTCCCCTCTCCCCTCCTCTCCCCTTCCCCTTCCTCCCCTTTCCCCTTCCTCCGCCTCCCCCTTCCATGTTCCTTCTCCCTCTCTCCCTCCCCTTCCTCCTCCCTTTCCCCTTCCTCCCCTTTCCCCTTCCTCCTCCCCTCCCCTCCCCTCCCCTTCCTGTTCCTTCTCCCTCTCTCCCTCTCCCCTTCCTCCTCCCTTTCCCCTTCCTCCTCCTCCTCCCCTCTACGAAGCTCCCGACCCTTTCGCATGACGCACTCATCACCGGGAGATGATGGGGCGAAGATGCAAATTGCTTTTATGGATCTTGCATACCTCGTAAAGGTCGGGAGGAGACGGCAACTGCTCCGAAATCGATGTGGTATTTTCATTATTTTTGTCGTTATCATTACCTTTGTCATTTATCGTCAGCATCGTTGTCGTAGTCGTGATAGTCGTTTAAAAATATTCGAAGTCGTAGTAATGATAGTGGCAGTATTAGTAATGATAGTAATGGTAGTTATGATCATTGATATATCTGATTTAACAATATTGACAATGGTAAAGACGGTGATTATGGTAGTGCTAATAAATATATCAACATACTAATAGATATAAATGTCAATATATCATGACTATTATCATTACCGTGATTACACCAAGATATTCAACCTCGTCCAGCCGCCATCAGCGTCAATTACACTCAATGTTCGCAGTTCTTTTGTCTGAATTTTCGAAGGAATTCCTTTCTCAAAATATCTCCTAGACTGAGAAAAGTGTCTGACTCTCCCGCCGTTTATGAATGAAATCCGACGTGTATTTCAGGTCATATGTATGTCTCCCCTTGCGAGGCGTGTCATTCAGAATGCCATGTAATGACAAGACACGGCGCTGCAGAGTGTCACGAACCTTCAATTGCAAACTTCTCCCTCGTAATGAACCGAAACATTGCCGCCTGCACCACTCGGTCCCTCTCCTTCCCTTCTCATTAATGGCTCCAAGTGTTGCATGCTTTATCGCGTGTTCTTCCCCTCTTTTTCTCTCCGTTCCTTGTCGCTTTTAGTTTTTTGGAATAAGATGGATACAGAAGCGTGTAGATGAATACTCTCTCTCTCTCTCTCTCTCTCTCTCTCTCTCTCTCTCTCTCTCTCTCTCTCTCT